AAGACTGTTTTATCACAGATTATCTGAAGTGTACTCACGAGTAAGTTGTGGTCAGGCTTTTAGTAGAAAATAAAAGGAAATGGTCATTTTACAAATGAATGCTTTTAATTGCCCTTTCATGGTTAACTTGTTTCTCATTTACACTACAATGTTCTCCAATGTAGATGCAGGGCAATTTTGAGCAGAAATTACAACATTGCCCAAAATAGTCTCACATGCATGTTGGATTGCATTGTAATGCAAAGTAAAAAAGTTAACTGCAAAAGAGCCATTGGTCAATGTACTGGGAATTTTTGGGAGTTTACAATGTATCTCCATTAATCTTCATAGCTAGGTTAACTATATATAGGATTATCAATAGTTAAATGAATGCATTTCTTTAGAAATGAAAGGTTCACTTGTAAGCCATTACTAAGCTATTCTTTAGATAAGTAAGAAAGGAAAAATGCTAATGAAAAGAGACTAAGGCTTAGAGAACTTACAGAAATTATAGACATGGTAACCTCATGTTAGTAATAGTAACAATTGTACTATGAAACTAGAACCATGCCCAGTGTATACTTCTGACAAGCCTCTGTTGTTAGGCCAAGAAACACTCCAGTCCTCCTGTTTCCCTACATGGACAGCTCTTATGGCGAGAATTCTTCTTCACTGCTGCATATGCAACTCCCAACTTCAATAGAATGGAGGGTAACCCTGTCTGCCTGCAAGTCCCATGGGATACCAATCCAGAGTTTGTCAAAGCTTGGTCTGAGGTATGGTGGGAATACTTGACAACTATGGCACCACTAGAATGCGATGAAGTTTCACCAGTTGCATGAGTTGTATGAGTAGACAAGGTGCCTTGCTTAATGACATGCACTTTCACCACTTGCAATGGAATGACTTAATTTCACCGGAAAGTACCACATCCACCACTTGAACCAATCATACCAATTGTAAGCCTTATGTTATGACTTGTGCAGGTCATACCACTCGAATTACTTGAATCATAGTTTTTATGACTTGAACAACTGGTGAGAATTAGACATGCATGGAAGATGTTCATGTGGCAAGTTTCTACAAAGTTGTACTTAGAAATAATTAGGAGCAAATTAAATATGTTTGGAATACTCTTGGAAAATACATTGACATTTTGAGATGTGGCTAATTTATTGTTTTGATCTGACATGTGTTTGCATTATTGTCTACTGTATCAGTAGAATCCTTAGTGCCATAGTTTTTTTTAAGCCGCTAGTTTTTTTTAAGCTGATAGTTTTTTTTAAGAATGATAGCCAGCAAGGAAAAATGCACAAATAAGCCACTAAAATCTTGATACAACTGCAGTACTGTACATGTAGCCAAACTATGACAGCCTGAAGTAAATAGATTACATCCTTTGTTGGTCCAGACTAGCAAATGATGCATGGTTCTTATTCTCTCTTTCTGTGTGTCTTTCTCAAGGATTTGCAACCCTCTGATAAATTCATTGACCTTATTTAGCCAATCACAATCTAAGAATTATGGACAACATGCCTATGGTGAGAAATCAACCGCTGGCTGCGTGAACTTTAGAATCACACGTCTGAGATTGGTCAGTGAGAGTAATTGGCTCCATTGTTGGTCGGGAGAAATTTTGTCAAAACTGTTGTTAAGTGGCAACAGTATGGAATGGAATGTGACTCAAATGTTTGTTAAATCTGCAATGAGTCAACATCTTGTTTGTTTTCATGTAGGCTCGCACTGGGTATCCCTTCATCGATGCCATCATGACTCAACTGAGGAGGGAAGGATGGATACATCATTTGGCACGTCATGCTGTAGCATGTTTTTTGACCAGAGGAGACTTATGGATCAGCTGGGAGGAAGGACTGAAGGTGAAGAACATTCAGTTCTAACTGCACAAGACCCACCATCTTTTTCACAATGTTTCATGCAATCTCCACCTCACAAATGAGTTATCTGGCTCCTAGATGCAATCCCAAACTAGGTTACTGTTGTCTGATCAAACATCATGGGAGATGCATCTACAACAGAAGAATTTTTTTTGGTAAAAACAGTAGAGACATATAGAATTTGGAAAAGTCTGCTTTGAGACTTCCTAAAGATGGTAACGCCATTGGTTTATTGCAGGTGTTTGAGAAGTATCTTCTTGATCATGACTGGAGTTTGAATGCTGGGAACTGGATGTGGTTATCTGCAAGTGCCTTTTTTCATGCTTACTTCAGGGTATACAGTCCTGTAGCATTTGGCAAGAAAACTGATCCTAATGGAGATTATATCAAGTAAGTTTAATTTGAAAACTGATGGCTTGAATCATAGCTCTAAAACAAGAAATCAAAACAATCTGTGGACACATTCTACTGACTGTGGATCAACATCAAGTCTGTTCCCATGTAAGGATTGTATTGAGGAGCCAGATGGACATGCAGGCATTTGTCAAGTTACCCCAACAGTTGCCAGTAGCAATTTATACACCAGACCTGAGTAAAGTGAGACACTGCTAGATAGAGTGGCATCCTCAAGACTACAGCACAACAATCCCATCCAGGCTTGAGCATGGACCAGCCACCAACTGATTGTGTATCTTGGCATATTGAAGCAAACAAAGGGAACTACTGGGTTTTTGACAAAAGGAATCAGATCTTCCCATCATTTTAACATCCATCTTGTTGTTCTTCAAATCTTATAATAAGTCTTAGAGTGAGCAAGGGCACTACCAATGGTCAAACTATCACAATAGTGAAGAAACATATCTGACAGGCAGACAGCCACATTTAGAACAGTCAAATGAATATTAATAGGTACTTTCTAGGCTGTTGGCAGCTGGTCTTTTCTCTCAAGGTCAGAGAAGTGTTCATCTGTGAACATGAAAAAGGGGACAAAAAGGGGTTAGGGCAAGACATGAGTGAGTCATGAGTCTTGTGTCAATCCCTTCTTGTCTCAAATGTCTCGCCTCTTACTCTCTGTCTAATTTAAAAAGAAAAACAGACTGCCAGTAGTTGGTCTTAGTCTTGTAATTAAATGTAATTAAATTGCCTTAGTTTGTTTCTAGTTCAAAGCTAAATTTCAGGCCACAATCCCATTGTGTTTTCATGTTCCTCATCTATATATCTATAACTCATATGTTGGTAAACTTTGATTATTTGAAGGTAATTCTGTTAATGATATTTCTTGTGTCATCTTTTGTAGGAAGTATATACCAGTTTTAAAGAAATATCCTCCAAAATACATCTACGAGCCTTGGACTGCCCCACAAAGTGTACAAAAAGCAGCAGGGTGTGTTATTGGTAAAGACTATCCTCGTCCAATTGTAGATCACAAAGTGGTTGTGAAGACCAACATTACACGGATGAAAAAAGCTAGAGCAGACCATTATGGTGAAAGTATAGATGAAGGTAACTTATTCTTGAAGTATGAAGTGGTTCCTGCTCCTCTCTCTGGTATGCTCTTTAATAAGTATTGTAAATCCCTGACTTAAATTTGTCATAATTTGTAATAAATGTCCTAAAAAAAACCTCAAAGCAAGCAAGAGAAAAATCAACAACAAACCAAACACACCAGGTGGTGTATTGACAGTTTTTTTGTTATTTTTTGCCTGTCCTTCAAGAGATATCACTTTCTTATCGATGTCATTAACTAAGACAGTGTCTGATAGATAGTACTTTTCTATTTTTTTTCCCAGACCTTGACAACAAAAGTAAAAGTTCACCAACTAAGAGGAAGAATAACAAACAGTCTCCAACAAGCAGCAAGTTAAGGAAAATAACTGATTTCACAAAGAAGTGATGGCTCTCATTCGATTGTCTATATTTTAAACATGACATTAGCTTAGTTTGAATGATGGCACCTTGTGCCGAGTTCTTTTTATTTCTTAACTGCTCTGAACCCATCAAATGGACTATTTTACTATAAGTCTCTGCATGCATGTACTTCAGCGGTTAGAGCACCAGCCTGTATTTGAGAGTTCACAGGTTCAAATCCTGTCATGAACTCAGAGTTTTTCTTTAGTTTTGTCTAATAGGTCAACATTTACTATAACCAGTTTCTTAGGGGTTGCATTTGTTTTCAATAAATCATTATCAGTATCTATTACTGTGTTACTAACCCCACATTTATTAAAGAGAATGGAAAAAGTTAAGTGTTTTCTGTGATTTATTGCTTTTCCGTCTCTCTTGTGAAGCACCATACACAAGAAGTGATATTTCCTCGTTTCAGTTATACATTAACCAGGAAGTTTTAAAATGAACAGATGAAACACCCAATACCATTTTCTGTGATAAAGCTATTCTTCTATTCCTGCATTGCCATGCCTCTATTCTTCTATTCCTGCATTGCCATGCCTCCACCGTGTTAATGCAAGAGTTGACTGTGTGCCAGATGGAAAACAAGCAGTGTGGAAGTTGTGAAATAATGAGATGAATTATTATAAATTATATTTTATTTTTTTCGTATTATTTGACACATGAAAGTTTGGGAGAACTTGAAAAAGCTGTGGAAACACTCGCCTGACAGCTTGTGTTCCCACAGCATTTCTTGCTCTCCCAAACTTTCATTTGTGTTTCTATTTAACAATTAGATGAGCTTGAGATTTCCATTGCGTGATAGTTGACAAGGGCGCAGCCCCAGCCAACTATCATGCATAGAAATACAGAGGTAATATATCAAACAGAAAGATCATGTTTGACCACATTTTTGAACACTGAGAAGAGATTTGAAAATATGACGCGCAGTGGAGTATTTTTGATGAACTTCGAGGTAGCCTGCGAACAGGCTCTCGGCAAGGACGGAAAAACTTTCAGTGAGCGCGAAACAGAAGAATTCAGAGAGCAAAGTGATCGGGATGTGGAAAGGGGAGCCTGTAGACTTTGTTTTTGATGTGCCTATCTGCCCTTGGTGATAAGCCTGTACCAAATCAGTCAATGAGGTAATTAGACCTGTCAAGAAGCTACATTTTCGGTACTTGCAAACAGTTCTAATCGAGCTAATCAAATAGTCGGGCCAGGCGTCATAATACAGAGTGCAAGTAAGCAACATGTTCACGGAATATTTCTCTTCCGTGAACATGTTGCTTACTGGCACTCTGTATTATGACGCCAGTACTTTAAGAGCTTAAAACATATTTTGCAATACTGAAATGAGCCTAAAGAAATTATAGGCACATGACAGAGGTGTCAAACTCTGCGAAGCGACATGCAAATAACAGCGGAAAGTCCGGAAACCATGCCTTTGACCTCTAAAAAAAATTGCTATAGCACCACCGAATGGCTCCACTCCACTAGCTTCTACTTAAGATTCCTCCTCGTAAAAGAGCATAAAGTACCCTTCAGAATCACTTGTGAAATAACGAGAGGTTGAGAGACCGAAACTTAAAAGAGAACGCCATTGTATACTTGACAGTACAACTAATACACCAAGCCCTCTCATTGTGGACTGCATGATGTCATGTTGATTTAGCTGGCAGAGTATTTTCAATGGCATGGTATGAAATAGTAATGCAACACTTTCTTGTGGTATACCATGGAATATCCCACTTGTCAGTGATTAGTAGTTTCTTGGTATACACACTCACTAAAGGCTTGTGTGTATACGAGGAAAATAAAAGTGACTCGTGGGATATTCATGGTATACTACTCAAAAGTGTTGGATAACTAGTATGTATTACTGAGTACCAAAACTAGCACTTAAGACAAGTTCAAAACAGCGTAACATGCCAGTAAATAATTCACAAATTCAGGTTATCTGTAACTAGATGAATAGTATGATTGTTCAAGTTCAAATAAATTGAGAGCAAGTTCTTGTTTGAGGTTTAAAAGCTGCTGATCCGTTTGATTGGTCATCTCCTGAAATGTATTGCTTCGTTCAGAGATACTGGCGTTCACTGATGGAAAGTCATTCAAAATGAGAAACTCCTTCATGTCAGACACAAGCTTCATCAGTGATTCACCTGCCCTTACCTGAAAAAAAAGGTTTCAATTTTATTTACATAATAAGGGCTCTTGACTGGTATATCAACTTGAGGGTTAAGTCACATTCGCAGCTATCCAAACTGCACTTGCCAGCCATGGTAGTATAGTAGCCATATGCGTACATGAGTAGTTTCGTTTGCTCTTTGTTCATTGGTGGATCCAGACCTTGAGGGTGCTTGCCCTGCCAGTTTTTCTTCCTTCTGCGATTTTTCTGCTTGTCTGCTTTTTACCCAAAATGGGGGGGGGAGCCTTGATATTGTTCATGTTCATTAGTGCCACTGTGCTTATCTTACCATTCCTCATACAGTCGAACCTCCCGTAAACGACCACTCAAAATGTCAAGCCTAGGCAGTTGCTTAAGGGAGGTGGTCGCTTACAAGAGCTTAGACACTGGGTCAAAAATTTGCCTGATTAGCATATGGTAACTGCAGAGACTTACCTTGGTTTCAAGAAAACCATCCTGTACTTCCCATTGAGACATTTCCATCACTTGTTCTACCAAGGAATGTGATAATGTTACAGCACTTTATCCAATTTCCGCTCTATTATGACTATTATTTGTGAAGTGGTCGCTTACGGAGGTTAAAAACAAAATAAAATTTCAACTTTAGCTCTAAAAGTGGTCACGGTCGCTTGCGAGAGGTGGTCGCCTACAAGAGGTTCCAAATTTTGTGATTTGACTTGGTAACTTATGGTATTTCAGAAAACTGGTCGCTGAAGAGAAGCGGTCGCAACCAGAGGTTAGACTGTAGTTGCAAAGAAAAGTAAAATGGGCATTTGGAAAGTCGGTTTGGATTTAAGTTTGTTCGTTAATCCCAGTAGGCGACTTCGAGTTAATTACCCTGCGTCTCTGTTTCAAAAGGAGTACTTGAGTAAAACCTTTCATATGAAAATGACAACTTGATTTGTGTGAAAATGAATCTGTAGGGGAAATATAGATTTAGCCTAGCCTAAAAGCGGAGCTCCTGATTACTAAGCACTTAATGACTGACCCCAAGGGAAACAGTGAGTTTTGTTTCCCCGAGACCCTCGATGTTCCCCTAGGTGAAGACGAGCGGAACATTGAGGCCGAGGGGAAACTTACCTCACTGTTTCCCGTGGGGCCAGTCATTAAGAGTTTTCAGGAGCCATAATCTGGGACGTCTCCGTCCCCGATTATGGCTCCTGGTGTTTTGTTATGCCTCTCAACTCAAAAATAGAAGAAAAAAAACACTGCGAAAGAATTATTTGCTTGACGCCGGATGGCTAACAAATTTGCCGCAGTTTAAAGGGGCACGAACTGATCACGTGCGAGTCAAAAGTTCAAGTTATTGTTTCCTTAGGGAGTTAGTGAGTTTTAACCCAGGAGACGTGACACGTTCTCCTCCAATCAGAAAAGGAATTTGGGTTGAGAGGTATAACAAAATAAATTAACCTGGCTTGAGCCTGCGATCCATTTAAAAACCCAGTACTTCGTCAGCGGCCAACTTCAAAAAGCATGTGACCTCGACAAGCTCCAAACAAGAGCCCGCGATATTGCAATTGACCATAACATGGATGTCCAGTATCAAAGGTGTACCTGTAAACCAAGGCTGCATGACCTGCATGACCTGCATGACCTGCACGACCTATAAGCTGGAATATGGCCGCGGCCGCCATGTTGCGCGACATCGTCGTCGTCGTTTCTCGCCGTAGGGCGCAAGCGCCCGCGATGCACGCCACTAGCCATGCTGACCATGAAAAAAGAGTTGCATGGTTTTCTTTTTCTATGCATGCATGTGGTTCTGTCCGGCCCGCCAGAGCTCCGCTACGAATGGTTTTGCACGAAGACTCGTGTTGACAGGTTGTATGACATTTGCAGACTGCAGACTGGGTTAGCCTTAATATCACTCAGGATGGCCTGAATAGTGCTCAGGCTAGCCAGTCACCGGTTAAATGCAATGATGCAAGAGACCTCAAACGAAAATGCTGCCGGTGGACGTAGGATCTGTTCAAGATCTGATCAGCCAACAATAGAAACATAACAATGAAGCAAGGCTGATTACTACGTAGAAAGCTTAACGGGACAACGACGTGATAGAACTTCCAAATTGAAAGCCAAGAATTGCAACCGTGGACAGCTGTTTCGACCTGGTTGGGTCTTGTCAGCGCGGTGTAGCAACAAGAAGTAGAGCAACCGGCTGGTTGACCGATCGTCTGCTAAATGCACATTGTAATTACTCAGGCTAGCCAGAGGTCTGCGGTCTGCAAATGTCATACAGCCTATTAAGATGCTAATCGTATCTGTAACAAAATTCTCGATCGTGATTGGTTCTTTGCGCGGCTATTTGTCAAGTATTCGGCGCGCGATCACTTGGGCGTCCAATTCCAGGTATCCAATTTGTACTTTTTGTAGTTGGAGTCCTGATTGGTTATCGATGCGAGGTATTTAGCGTGGAAAACGTAATCGTGGCACGTCTTTTACTTTCGCACATTGAAACCCGGTATAGTTTTTTTGTATGCCTTACTTGTGAAAGCTAGTCACGAGCGGCAACATTAGTAAATCCACAAAACAGGTAGTTAGGAGTTCCTGTCAGATTGAGATCAAAATTTACCAAACACTGTAAACTCAACATCAGCTTCGTCTAGAGATTGAGGAAGACGTTTCCGCTTGCAAGAACAAGTGCTTGGCAAAGAAGAAAGGTAACCTTTTTCATCTTGTTACGCTTAAAATAGGCTATGCGAGTCAAGCTTCGCGAGCCACTTATCGTCTTGCTACCACACGGGGGGAAACGACAATACATGTATTTTGTGTGATGATCGCCGGTAGCCTCTGTACTCTTGGAATCTTGCACCGTAATCTGCATGCAGACTTACATACTATTTGCTTTGTTTCACACCAAACTTTTCCGTGTGAAGCAAAGAGAACAGCTAACGTATCGCAAAGTTCAAACAACTTTAACTTCACAAATTCATCTCTGCGAGTTACTCCGGCAAAGTAAATAGCAATTTGATGAAAGCTTTAATTGTTAAGAATTGAATAGCGCTGGATCGCTACACTAGTTTGTTGCCCCATTTCCGCATACTTCGCGCTTTTCGCTATTTCGTTCCATAAAACACGGATAGCGAGTTCAAATGTTCCCTCTGTGTACCTTTTCGTATGCCCAAGTTTGTCCTTAAGTCTCAAATCAGAATGTGTTCTTTTAGTCTTAATTTGCGGGAAAATGAGTTGAGTAGCCATTCTCTAACACTGGACGATTGTCAAAAGATTTGGGTTTTATTTTTCGCTTTTCTCCGAAATGACAAAATATTTATCAGTTACATTGTATACCATGAAATACTAAACCTGCGACTAAAACTGCGAAGTTTTCAACTTTTCAGAAGCAAACTTTCGTGGAGTAGAGCTAAGACTTGGTCGATTAATTCTTCTCGTTTTTCTCAGTTTTAACGAAAACAATATTGAAAGATACGTATGGTAGCTGCTCGCTAACAAAGCAGGTGGTCTTGAATATATAAAGAACTTCGGATAAAAAACTGACTATTCAACTGAACTCTTGTCCATAAAATAATTGGCTTGTAAAAAAATCTTTCCTCACTATTGTACTCTCACTATTTCTGTTGTAGTCTCGCTGCTATTTAAAATAAGCTGTCATAATTTTACCGATTACCGCGATCGAAAATTTATGAAAACCGCAAACCGCTCAGTCTTATAAAACCGCAATACCGCAGGTTAAAATAAAGATTTCCGCAAAACCGCACCAAAAATAACGCAAAACCGCATCACCGCAAACCCTTACGCCCCCCTCCTATCCACTGGGTAAATCACAACGGGGGCCTGGCTTTAGGCATTTCGCAGGCTTTGATTGTTGATGGCAAAACTTTAGGGAAGTTGTCGTATGTAGGGAAAAATGTATCCTGTCCTTTAAATTCCTTATGAACAACCATTGACGTCACTACAACTGAGGAAGTTGTTTTCACTGACCTCTTCGAAAAAGAGTGCAAGTTAAATAAAAGTTTATACTTTGCTCTATCCCAAACCTAGTCGTGTACATGTGGAATCTAAAAACACAACATGTCCGACCTGTGCCAGCAGAAACTCAAGTCAGTTTGGAGCTGGTCTTTTTACCGACAATTTGGCTTCAAATATCCTTTCTTTTCTCAGCTGGAAAAGACTCATGTTCTCGACCTCTTACAACAAGGAAACGTTTTTAAGTTTCCAATGGCAAAAGGAAATTGATGACACAATGACACAAAGTTCTCGCATTGAACATTTTCGTTGTTCGTGTTGCGTTTATCTCCCTAGTTGAGCCGTTTTTGTCATCTTCTCCACTCTATATCGACTGGCGGCCTCGACTTGCCTCATGAGTTTTGAATCTTCCCGAAAAAGAAAGTTACCGCCTACAAAGACAATTCTTTGAGAATGTAACATAAATTTAGCTCCTTGATCCTTCTGGATCTCGAAAGTTTCGAATGTCACTATTAAATCAGTGAAGAGAGAAGCTCTTTACAAGCTGTGGCCAATAACGATAAAAACTTTATCTAAGTGTCAAGCCATGTAGCCTGGGAGAAACCCATACTAATAAGGGGACACAGACTAATACAAAATACAACACTTTAATAGAAGATTAAAGACGTCTATGTCTTTTTTCTATAACATTCGATGCCATGAGGAATTTGACTCAAAAATGCCATTAAGTCTTATTTTTCTACACGTTTTATAACATCCTACGCTAACTTGGAGAACAATTTAAGTATTTCCTTTCTGGCAAATATCTCCATTCACTCACTGACCTCTATTTAGCGATATCGGAACAGCCAGCGTTCTGCCAACTACTTCCCGCATTTTATCACAGATGGAAGAAGCTATATCCAATTATTTTTAAACAGTGGTGGTGTGAAAAAGTGTAATATCGGTTACAGGAAATTACATGATAGGCCTGTCTATAAATATTTTTTTATCTGAATATGCAATCAGGTAATATGGTAGAAATCT